TAAGAGATCAGAGATGTCAGTGTAGACTACTCTATTGAACAAAACTTCCAATCACAAGATGGAGAAGGACGTTCCAAAACAAAACCAAATTTAAGCAGTATCTAGAAATCCAGCTCTAAAGAAGGTACTAGAAGGAAAATTTCAACCTGAAGAGGTTAACCAAACCAAAAAACAAAACAACACAATAACAAAACACACACACACAAGGAATAAATAGCCTCAGCTAAGTAAATCAAAGGGAGGAAGGAGCTATAATATAAGAAGAATTAACAAACCCTGCTCATTGACAACATCAATGACAACTCTCAGCATCAGTGGTCTCAATTCCCCCAAAAGAAAACAGAGACTAACAGAATGGATTTAAAAAAAAAAAAAAAAAGGATCTATCCTTCTGCTGCATCTAAGAAATACATCTTAACATCAAGGATAGACATCATCTCAAGATAAAAAAAAAAAGGAAGAAGATATTCCAAAAAAAATGGACTCAAGAAGCAAAGCAGTATAGCCATTTTAATATCTGACAAAATAGACTTCAAACCAAAACAATCAGAAGAGATAGGGACAGGCACTACATAGTCATAAAAGGAAAAATATACCAAGAGGACATTGCAATTCTAAACATTTGTGAACCAAGCACAAGGACACTCAAGTTCATAGAAAAAAATACTACTGTTGCTAAATTCACATATTGATCCTCACACGATGATCCTGTGTGACCTCAATACCCAACTCTCACCAATAGATAGGTCATCCTAAAATTAAACAAAGAAATGCTGAAGCTAAATGACATCATAAATCCAATGAATCAAGCGATAATTACAAAACATTTCACCCCAAAATAAAAGAATATACTTGCTTCTTAGCACCCCATGGGACATTCTCCAAAATTGACAACATGCTTGGATACAAGAAAACTGAATTAACAGCCTTCATGCTGTGTGACTATTGCAGGGTGTGGTAGTTTAAATGTAATTGGCCCCCATAATCTCACAGGGAGTGGCACTATTTGGAGGTATGGCTCTGTTGGAGGAGGTGTGGCAGCCTTGTTAGAGGACGTGTGCCACTGTGCATGTGGGCTTTGAGAACTCATATATGATAAAGATACCACCCAGTGTCACAGACAACTTCTTGTTGCCTGCAAGATGTAGGACTCTCAGCTACTTCTCCAGCACCATGCCCCTGTGACCACCATTATGACAATGGACTGAATCTCTGAACTGTAAGTGACCCACCTCAATTAAATGTTTTGAACACTCAGTCCAAAATGGGATGTTTTCACCAAACTTCTCCTCTGAGTGTTAGGGGACTTTAAGGAAATGAGGAAGAAGAAATATTGTAAAGGTCAGTGGGGATGGAAGACACAAAGGATACAATGCCTTCTAGACACAACAGTACTATCACACATACGAACTCACAAAGACTATGGCAACATGCACAGCTCTAATATACATGTGCATATCTAATCCAGATCAAGTCCCAGGGCTGAGAAGGGAAGTGGACACAAGTCCTCATCCCTAACATAAGAGTTCTTTGTCTCACAATGCTTTGTCTGAGAAATTTTTTAACCTTAGAGGTCTTCTGCTTATATGTTATAGTTTCCAATATTGTGTTTTTATGGGTACGTCTCTGTGTCTGAATGTTTCTTGTGCTTTTTCTTTGGCTCTTTTTTTCCTCTTTTTTTGTTTTGTCCTATTCTGGTTTCGTGTTTATTTTATATTCTTTTATATATATTTTTAAATGCCTATTTTTATCTAATAAGGTAAATAAAAAGATGTGGATTTGGGTGGGTAGAGAGGTTGGGTGGACCTAGGAGGAATTGGGGGAGAAGAACCCATAATCAGAATATATTGTGTGAAAAATCTATTTTCAATAAAAAATAAATAAAACACAAAAAAATACCAAAATAATTTGAGTTCATGCTTTATTGAACTATGTTCTCTCTCTTGTACTTTTGATAAAAAAAAATCCCCATTTTATAATATTTTCTCAAGGTGATCTGCGGCTCCTTGATGTTTGTGAGAGGACTTGAGTGTGTTTGATCTTGGGAAACAAGGAAGCTCCACTCACAGGTAAATTCTGAGGAAGGAGTCTCGAATTAGGAAGTGCATGGGCTGGTATCAAATTTAGAAATTCTAAAGAATTCTATAACAGTAGATAAGATATCGGACACCTTTAAATGGCTTTAAAATGGGGATAAGCAGCAGATACATTGTTGTTCAAATGAGACATAAAATCATGTGAAATTTGGCATATAAATCTCAATGATGATCAAAAGTAATTTTTGCATTTTTATATCAACAAGAAAAATGTTAAAAGACGACACCACACAAGCATTTTCACTACCTGACTTGTTTTGCTGCTGTGACCAATTACCTGACAAGAAGCGACTGATAGGAGGAGAGTTCAGTCTGCTCTACCACTCCAGGGAAGCCGTCAGTCAAGAGCGGAAAGGCCTGGCAGTAGGAGTGTGAGGCAAGGGGGTCACTGCACATCTGCAGTCAGGAAACAGAGGGTAGACAGGAAGTATGACCCAGCCTATGACCTCAGGACCTGGCCTCAATCATCCTAATGACTCCACAACCTTCCAAGACAACAAATGTTAAAACACAAGCCTATGAGCATTTCTCATTCAAATTAAAGAAGTTACATGAACACTGTCAAAAGACAATCAACAAAACCAGGGGGGGAATACAAATGACCAATATTGTAAGTGAAAGAAATGACATGGAGTCTAAGGAACTTTAGATGTAAAAAATATAATGAAAACAAAGAGGGGGATGGGAGAAGGGGATGAGGGAGGGAATATAGAGAGGGACAGCTAACACTAAGGGCCACGTGAGGGGTCACATGGAATCCTACTGCACTAGAAGCCTTTTAAATATATACATAGATGAAAAAAACTAAATGGAATCAACAAATAAGAAGGAGAGAAAGCCCGAACCAGACATCTCTCACCATCAAATGAAACCTCCACTGCCAGAAATGGGTTACATCTAATTGAACTGTTGGGCAAAGGGATCCCATGGGACTCCTCAAACAATCCAGGTGGTTGCTAAGCCTATCGGTTGCTCTTCATAAAATGTTGGCAACCCCCCCCCTTGCTCGAAACAACACCTGTACAACCCATTGAAAATGGAGAAACTGAGCTGTGCCTCCATAGAGCCTTCATACCTACATCTCAGCATCTTTGGTAAGGAAGTACTCTGCATGCTATTAAAGGAGGAGAAATGTTAACACCAATCCAGCCATTAAACACTTTGTTCTATAATGGTGTCCTGCCTGCAAAATATGCTAGGGCAATGGTAGCACAAAACTTGTTGAGTAACCAACCACTGTCTGATTTGACTTAAGGCTTACTCAAGGAGATGGAACCCATACCTAAAACAGCTTCTGTGACCCAGAACCTGAGACTAGATAGTTTAGAGACCTAGGGTTTTTATAACCAAATGCTAATTTTCTAAAAAAAAGGAAAACAAACAAAACAGCATAAAATGACCCCTAATAACATTCTGCTATACTCATAGATCAGAACCTTGCTCAGCCATCATCAGAGAAGCTTCCTTCTGCAGCAGATGAAAAAAGAGATCCACAGCCAGTCATTATGCAGGGAGTGAGAGAAACTTTGGAACACTCAGTCCTAAACAGGATGTCTCCATCAAATAACTTCCTTCAGGCTCAGGGAACACGGCAGAAGAGGGACAGAATGAGTGTAAGAGCCAGAGGGGACTGAGGACACCAAGAAAACTAGGCCCTCTAAATCAACATGATCAATGCACATATGAACTCACAGAGACTGAGGCAGTATGAACAGGGCCTGAACAGGTCTGTATCAGACGGGAAAGGAGAAGTGGACACACGCTCCCACCCCTAGCTCATAAGCAATCTTTAATTGATAACCATTTGTAAAATAAAATTTAGTTTTCTCCAAGGGAGAACAAGCTCTCACTGGTAAACAAACTACTCTAAAGGATAGGTTGTATGCCCAACAGTAGATGATCGACTGAAAAAGAAGTCAGTGGCATCTTTGGAGAGTTCTTGTTTCACAATGTCATGTCAAGGATCCCCCCACCACACACACTTTTTTTTTTTTTACAATTTTATCTTATTATTTTTAATTTAATTTTATTTGTGTATGTTTTTCTTCTCTCTTTTTACCCTACAGGTCCTCTGCATATATATTATGGCTTCCAGTTTTGTGTTTTTATGGGATTCCTAAGTGTGTAATTGTGTCTTTTATTCTTGTGCTTTTCTCGAACTTTTTTCTGTTTGTTTTGTCCAATTCTGATAAGTTAATTTTTGTTTTATCATACTATATTATATTTTATTATTATCATCCATCAGATACCTGTTTTGTTTTCTTTTTTTGCATTTACTTTAGAAATGGTTTTATTTATGTACAAATAATAAGCAACATTCTATCCATAAATTCTATTTTCCAAAAACAATTGTTTGTTTAAGAAAATCAAAAATGCTGGGTGTGATGGTGTACACCTTTAATCCCAGCACTCAGGAGGCAGAAACAGGTGGATCTCTGTGAGTTCAAGGCAGCCTGGTCTACATAGTGAGTTCCAGGACAGCCAGAGCTACATAATATGAGAGACCCTGTCTCAAAAAACCGAAAAAGAAAACCACATAATAAATCTTAAAAGGTACCAAGATTCTTCTGCTTCTAGACCATTGCTGGGCTGGAGAGAATTGGAGGGGAGGGGTGTTGGGCCAGAAGTCACAACTTGGAATTGAGCATTCTCCAAAGCAGTAAGAAGGTACCATTCTGGCAAAGTTTATTCAACCACGCCCCACCCCCACCCTCACAGGCCGCCTATTGGAATGGCTGAAGCAGGGCGGACAGCCCAGCCTAATTCAGCTGCCTTGTAGCTTTGTATGCGGCCAGCATGCAACTCTAAGAAGCTACTAAGGAGACTAAAGCAAAGCAAGAGACTGAGGTTGTCCTGAGAACGGTTAGTTCCTTGCGACCTCTGCTTCAATGACCCTAATAAACAGACTATCCTAGTGCAAGGAAAATATTACATCGTGACAGATTTCACACTAGCAAGACAGTCAGCACAGAAATGTTGCCTGGTGCCATTAAGCAACAACTCAAACCATGGTATGCCCAGAGTTCGTGCCTTAATCTACACACAAACCTTTGTGTTTATGTGAGCACAGCACGGTGACGCAGAACATTGAGCTGAGATCTAACACCCACAATGGATGCTTTTACAGGCTGCAATATAAGAGGGAAGCTCGTGAATCACATTTGTCTGAGGGACCTTACATAACCAATCAGTAACTTGGGGATCGACAGTCTCCACTGGTTTCCAGTGTGTCTAGGGCTGGTTGCAGGAGGCACCATTAGGAAGCATCCTCCATGTCCACATCCTCCTGCAACTGCTGGACCATTTTTTCTTCCAGCTGCTTTCCTTTGCCTGCAAGAGGAGCCCGCATAAGATGGATGCTCTGCTTGACTTCTTTGGTGTCCTGAACCTTCTGTAGCTCTTTGTTTTTCTTCAACCTGTTCATTATAAACTTAGCCTGGCGTTTCTGTTTGATCTCTTCAACCCTCTTCATTGCATGGATAGTTTTACTCCAGAGCTCTCGCTGGTATTTCACAGGTTCATTTCTACGTTTTTCAAACTCAAATGAGTTGTCCACGGTGAGCTCCTTGCCATTGCTTTCCGGAAGGCTTTAGTCCACCTGACCTTGCGTGGGTTCCGCTTCTTCTTGAAGTTTTTATGACACTTGGATTTGCAGAATCGGAACACCTTGCAGTCGTTGCGGACGAACATCATGCCGTGGCCCGGGTAGATCGGCCCGGAACAGAAGTAACATTTCTCGATCCTCATGTGGACTCCGCGTGGGCCTGTTTTGTTTTCTAGTGAGAGACAGAAAGGGGTTGGGTCCAGATGAGAAGGAAATCAGGCAGCAACTGGAAGATGTAGAGGGAAAGAAAACTATAATCAAGATATATTATATGAGAAAAAAAAATCTATTTTCAATAAAAAGAAGCAGAAGACAAAAAATGAAGGGATAAAGGAAGAACTCAATAATAGAATCAATCATTTTTTTTTTCTTTTTTTTTTCTTTTTCTTTTTTTTTTTTTTTTGGCTTTTCGAGACAGGGTTTTTCTGGGTAGCTTTGTGCCCATGCTGGCCTCGAACTCACAGAGATCCGCCTGGCTCTGCCTCCCGAGTGCTGGGATTAAAGGCATGTGCCACCACCGCCCGGCTGAATTCAACCATTTTTAAATAAATGGAAATGAAGACTAATGTACAGGATAGAGCAAAATAGTACTATGAAACTTTCTAACAAATCAATGCTTACACAAAAAAGTCAGGAAGGTCTATCAAAGAGCCTGACATAGACTCTCAGGAAACAAAGACACAGGAAACTACAGATTAAGAGATGGCAACAAATAGTGAAGAGGAGAAATAAATGAAACAAAGACTACAAAATAATACAAAAATCCCAATGAGGTACACATAAAATAGACAAATCCTTCACTCGACTAAGACAAAAAGAAGACTCAAATAAGAGAAATCAGAGATAAAAGGAAATTAGAACAGACCTACTGAAATATAAAGCATCATTTGGTATTGTTGCAAAGTACTTATATTACAAAATTCTGATATCCTAGAAGAAATCAGTAAAATCTAAGACACATGTATTTTAACAATACTAAATCATTCAGAATAGAAAGCATGAACAGACCAAAAGTATCAATACTGAATCAGTAATAAAAAGTTTCCTATCAAAGAAAATCCTCTAGTCAGAGAGTTACACTATAGAATCTAGCAAACAATTAAAGAAGAACTAATATTTATTATCAATGAAAGGAAAAAAATCTTCCAAATATATTTGAAGAGGTCCATATTATGTTGATAACAACTCAGAGACAAACACAATAAATGGAAATTATAGGCTGATAATTTTGAATAACATAAATGCTACCATTCTCCCAAACACAAATCAAATCTAACAGCATATTGGAAATCTTGCAAGAGAAAAAGATAAGAGACATTTAAATTAGAATAAAGAATTCAAATTGTCACTGCAGATGACATGATTTCACATATTAAAACCCTAAAAGATCCAGCAAGAAAGATCACAGAACTGATAAATGAATGAGGCAAAGCTGCAGGATACAAAGTCAACATATTAGAATCATTAGTATTGCGATCTGTCAGTCAATAACAAAGGACCTGAAATACAAACAGAGTAGCAATCCCACTTATAAAATCTAAGACATTATTTTGGAATAAATTTCATGAAAGAAGTGAAACATCTCTTCACTGAAAATTATAAAACATTGATGAAAGAAATGGAGGTAAACATGATTAACTGGTAAAGACATTTCATGTTTTTGGGACTGAAAATAAGTCTTGTCAAAACGCCCATGAACACTCAAAGTGATCTACAATCTAATCTCCATGAGATAACAATGATGTTCTTCACAGAATTAAGAAAAAAAATCCTAAAATTTGTGTGGAATTACAACCCAGCCCCTCCGTATCTAAATTCATCCCGATTAAAAATGACAGAGAAGGTGGTTTCAAATGATGTCAAAACACACTATAAGCTATAATCATCAAAATGGCACAGGCTTGGCAAAAATACAATCAAATCCAACCCTCTGACCGTCTAGAAATTAATACATGTTCACTATATAAAATAAATTCAATTTGTTCCAGTGTCCCACAAATTCCATTCCATCATAGCATCAAATCAAAATTCAAAATCTCAAAAATAATGTAAGTCAGTAAAGATATTGTTTATGGGTATTTTTTTACTTCACCTGTTGACCTCTGTTACTGAATAAACACTCATCTGCTCATATCCTAGGATGATATAAATGAACAGGATAGTGGTGACGGGCCTCATTTTTAAAAATAGAAATTCATAAAAGTAACAAGAATCATTGGTTCAAAGTTTTGAAATACAACTGGGAAGATCCCCCAGGGTATCTAAGCCTAAGAATGTTTCCCTGTGACTCTCAGCTCTCCTCTGGGCTTCTGGTTCCACATTCTTGGAACCCCTTCTCCCTGCTTCCTGCCAATAGAGTTTTGTGAGTCCAGTTGCTTTTCATTGTTAACTTCTTTTTAGACTTAAATCTGTGCTGCTAGTATTTCTGCAGATATGGCTATCTCAGAAACCTATGGCTTTTCCAGGGCACAGGATTTAATCTTTAGGTAGATCCAAGCTCACATTCTACATTGAGACAATCTATATATTTCACTCCTGAAATAGCTGAGGGCCAACACTTTAAGCTTTCTGAAGTTTGTCCTTTTTTTTGCAAAGTTCTTTGAAGCAAATCTTTAATGTCTTGTGACTCAATATTCATCTTAATTTCCCCCTAAGGTTTGAACAAAAAGTCATCTATTGCCACACTCCACCCTTTCTGCCAGGATTTCAGAAGCAAGAGTAACTTGAACAGCTTTTTACCACCAATGAGATAAACTAACCGTTTTCTAAACCATCAAATTATGGTTCCTTGTTGTGTTTAACAATTCTATCACATTTTCTGTAAATTTTAAGTTAAAACCAGACAGCATTTTCAACAGTTTGCTTGGGAATGTCAGATAAGTAGTTTCTTATTTACAAATGCTTTCTGTATAAATTCAACCTAAGAATCTCATCATCTTTCTTTCACTAGAGCACAATTAACCCCTTCTCCTCAGTTTTCAGCAACACGTTCCTGATCTTACTTTGAGTTTCCTGAGCTGTGTGCTTAAGATCTATAGTTCGACTCACAATGTTTTTAGGCAGTCTGTGTTGTATCTATCAGGTTCCTTAGATGTCTGAAACTTCTTTGAGCCTTACTTTCTGTTCTATGGTATATGCTTACATTTTGTGTCTCTGCTATGTGTGGCAGGTACCTCGCTCCGGGTTCCAATCTCTGCATTAGTTTTTCTATGGCCTTGTAACAAATACTGCACATGAAATAGCTTAAGGCAGCATGTTTACTGTTTGAAGATCAGATGTCTGGGAAGCTGGGGTTTATACTTAGCAATTTCCAAAGCTGAAATTAGGAGGTTTCCTGGCTGGGCTCAATTTGGAGGAGCAGAAAAAGTTATTTTTAAGCCAATTCTGATTGTTGGTAGAATTAGTTGCTTGTACCTATTATAGAACTGGGTTCTAGTCTCCTCATTTCTTTTTATGCAAAGTCTATTTGCTGTTCCTGTGTGTGATAGGAAAATCGGGTGAATGGTAAAGGATAATAGAGTGATTGAAGTTTGGTGGAAGAATTGGCTGTTTTTAGAGGAAGTCTCTTTATTTTGTATTTATAAAATTACCATGATTCTGCAACTTCTCTGTTTACAAGACAGTTACATTCTACGTTATAAACTCCACTAACATTCAAAATTTGAGATGCTTATACCTAATATTTATGGTCATATAATTAAATTAGGATAAAATATATGTTACAACATGAAAAAAATTGTAGTTACTAGATAGTGTATTTCCATGCTTCCTTAATTTATCTTTCTTTCTTTAGTTATTCCTATTATAAAAGCGAAGAAAAACAAACAAAATTCGATGAGCTTCATAAAGTTGTTCTCTATTCTAAAGTAAAATATCCCTTTTTAGTCAAAATCTTCATTAGCAATATTTCCTCTTATGCTGATTAGTTCTGCTAATGCTCCATAGAATATCTTACCTTAGGCCATCAGTATTTTAGGCCATGGCTGTGAATTGTGAGAGACTTAATTTCCTGAAGAAGATAGTTTTATATATATATATATAATCTCAGGGATATAATATATTAACTCGAAAGTATGAAGAAAAATGTTCTGGATGCTGAAATCCCTCTAGGAAGGCAGGGGCAGGATGGAGCCGGAAGAAGCAAGGTGCACGAACAATGTAGACTCGCTACCAGGCAACCAGTCATCCAGGGTTTTTTTTTTTTTTTTGAAGGTGTGCACACACTGTGCGAAAGTGGACTAGCACAGTGTTTCTGAAGACTTAATGTTTGAGATGTTCCTCTGGGACCCTTTAAAGATGCTGATTCTGGTTCAATCCTACAAGGTAGGCCGCTTGAGATGGAGGAGTCTCAATAACAAATGTCCCCAGGCTTCCGTCTTAGGGAGCCAGGGTAGAAGATTTGGTTCTGAACACTGGTTCACATGAGGGACACCCGGAGAACTTTGAAAGACCCGCCTGAGTTTCCACATTTGTATCTAAAATCTACTGAAACAACAACAACAACAACAAAAACCCAACCAATCAAACCAACAAAACCCCCATCTCTATGTTGAAGATTCTGCTGGCTGATTGATTAGCATTGAGTGATTGCAGAGAATTGGGATGTTGCATATCCAGAGTCAAAATTATCTTGGGTTATCTTTAGTGCCCTTAGTAGCTGTTTGTTGACTTCCCTTGTATCTAACCTAACTGTCTTTCAACTATCAGGTAAAGATCTTGCAATATGTCTCAGTGGACCATTAATGTCTACCAGCTGCAGACTGCATCTGGAACCTCCAGCAGCCATTTCCTTGCTCTGTGGTAATCTGACTATCTGATATGCCCACTAATACATTCAGTAAATGCATTGATTTATAATTTTCTTTTTATTTGTGACTATAAAATGTAACTACTACCACTCCCACCATGGACCATAGTCATTTGGGACAATCTGAATGCATATTCTGGTGCCACAGTCACCCATATTTCCCCGAGAATAAACTATATCTTATTTCCTTTTGAGTGAGAGCTGTGTATTGCATCAATGCTCTGAACATTTAAGATAAGGTCTTGCTGTTCAGAATCAAGTGTCTCTGTCTTAGTTAGGGTTTCTATTGCTTCAACAAAACACCATCACCAAAAGGTAAGTTGGGGAGGAAAGGGTTCATTTGGCT